TACTTCTTTCTCCGTCATCGTCATCCCCAATGACGATCCCGCCACCACCAACGTTGCATACCGTTGCAGTGACGTACCTTATTGATCGCCATCCTCTATCGTACAGCACCTTCTTCCACCACAGTACCATCGATCGCCATCTTCCTTCGCATCTGTTCTGTGGTTTTTTTTTTTTTTTGAACAGATCTATGATTTTTTTGAATAATCTTGATCAATTTATATATATATATATATATGGATTCAGATCTGATTTTTTTTGTTAGGGTATTATTGTTAGGGTTTTATCTATTCAGCAGATTTAATTTTTTTTTGGTAGGGTTTTATTTGTTCATTGTGTATGCGTGAGTTCAACCTTCAAATTCGACACTTTTTTTTTTGTTTGTTATTGTTATTGATTGTGTATGTGTGTGTAGTTATCTATTGAAATACTTTGAACAGAGAGGTTAGGTTAGGTTGGGTTGTGTGATGTTTTGTTTGGAAGAGAGTGGATAATAGATATGGTTGATTTCTTCTTCTTTTGAAATCCTTTATCTGTTCATTTTCAACACATAGAAAAAAGATTATAGAATTTCAATAGGTAATTTGAACAGGTAGAATTTTTGAACATATAGATTTTATTTGGACAAACATTTGAAATTTGAATTGAAAAGATTAAAAAAGTAAACAGATAGGGTAAAAAAATTGAATAGATAGGGAAAAAATTTAAACAGATAGGAAAAAAAACTTTGAATAAATAGGGAAAAAATTTGAACAAAAAGAAAAAATTTAAATAGATAGTCAACGAAAGTCAATCAAATTAAAAAAAAAAAGTCAACAAATAAATTAAGAAGTAAAATTGGAAACAAAATGTTCTTTAAAACAAATAAAAGGATTTCTCACCATACTATTTTACAAATGGGGAATTTTTCACCAACAAAAAATATTAATTGGACATAATGCCTTACACTCTCCTTAACTTGGACTTTTCAACAATTTACTCCTTTTGGGCACTCAGGCAATAAATCCATTTTTGGATTTTCTTTGTTCAAAAGTTCAGACGTTTTTTCATTAGGTCCATAAGGACAGCCTTTTATAAAACGAACAAAGCACCCAAAAGTGCTAAATTATTATTATTCTTCTTCTTCTTCTTCTTCTTTTTTATAAGCGAAAAAGTCTCTTAAAAAGAGTAAATTATGGGTCAGTCCTATATGATAAACTTAAATACATATAAATGCTCATTTTGCCCCCAAAAACTTTTTTGGAAATATTGATAATTGATAAATGAAAAAATGAGCAAACTTATAAATGAAAAAGATTGATTAATATTGCCGGCCAGTAAATCCAAAAAAAGAAAAAGAAAAAAAAGGGTCTGGTTAACAAAAACGTATCAGTTACAACCCATTATGTTCGATTGAGCTCAATAAAACCTGAATTAAAGCCCCAATTAGGTTCATATGTGGCAAGTCCAGACCAAAGCCCATAAGCTTATACTTTAAGCTCATTGGTGGAGTCTGGACCTTCAGAATCCATGATTAATCAGCCCGAGCCTAGGACGATTACTAAATAAAACCCATGAGTTTGAGCCTAGGTCGCACTTGGGCTTTAAAAGTTTTTAAGACAGGCCCAGCCTATTCCCATGACAGTGAGAACATAATCCCTAGTCCGCCCACAGCCAAACAGCACCTTGGGGAGAATCCTCTCAAATGTCACATCATTTTTTATATCAAATTAGTAAATTTCCAAACATATCATTATAAACCAAACGCAAATGTTTGACCTTTTGTCACGTGAGAATTACCGAATCAAAATTAAATTATTAAATTATTTAAATTAAAACAATATAAATTAAAGTAAAATTTAAATTAAATTACAAGAATAAAAAATTGTAATTTACCTTTTTTTAACAAAAAGTGTATACAAAATGGATTTTAGGTTGCGTTTGATAGAGTTTTCTAAATATGATTTGAGAATAGAGTTGTATTTTGAGTTTGTGAGTTTTGAAATTATGATTTGAGTGTGAAAAATTTATTTGGTGAATGAGTTTTGAAAATAATTTTAAAAAGAGTTTTGAATTGAGTGGAGAATTTTTAATGTAGCAAATGATATTTGATACAAAAACTTACAACTCATAACTAAACACACAACGCAAAATTCTATTCAAAACTCATAAATTTTTTAAAAAAAATTAGGAAATTTTTTTTATTTAAAATATAAAAAATAACATGTCGCATTTGTATTTAAAAAAAAATTGCACTGTTCCGGTCAACCGGTCGGATGTCCGGCAGGACGGCCGGTTAGCCTAAATTTTTTCGCCTTGGACAGAGTTTTCAAAAGTAAGTGTAAAATTAATTTTTGAAAATGGTAAACAAACACTACACTCAAATATAATAGTAGAATTAAGTTTAGAAAGCTCTATCAAACAGAAGGTATCTTGAAACAAAGAGCATCAATTTCATAATAACAAGAAGCAATTAATAAATAACAAGAAAGATGACAATTACTTAACTATGATCTTGCTCAAAATAATAATAGTAATAATAATTTAAAGTCATTGACAGAGCAAAAGGTAGGTACGAAGCCAAGTATTTATATGATTAATATCCTAAATGGTTTCACTAAAATGACAATAATATTTTTATTGGTTAGTTGAAATCATGTAATAAAATTAATTAATTTTCCTCTTCTTCCCCAAACAAATTACCAACTTACAAGTTTGATAGACAAGATTTTACATTTACAAAGCAATACAAGCTATGCAACTAATTTTTCTTACAAAGATTAGGACAACAATTCTATCTTCCATGTAGCATTGTTATGATTATTTCATTTGTTGTACAATAATGTTTCCCAATTGACGAAAAATTTGTATCAGTTATTACCCTTTCAAAGTAAAAGCCGGATTGTTTTAGGCATGTACAACATTGACTTCTCACTATTTAACATTAATATAAATTATATTAAAAAATCTTATAATATTAATGAATCGAGTCAAGACTTCAAACTCAATTCGAACTCGACCTTAATAAATGAACTCAATAAAGAAATGAACTGAGTTCGAGTTCTCCATTCAGTTTGACTCATTTCACGTCTCTTTTTGCTACAATATTTGGGACTACATCCTTTTTGTGAGTAGTAGGGGAGAGCCATGTACGTCTCATAAAATATTTTCTGAATGTATGCTCTCAGAATTCTCTGTTTGTGCCTATCTCAAACTCTCACAGCCCAATGGCAATCGACGATGTCGAATAGTTCTCGCGTTGGACCACCATCATCACTGGTAACAAAACTTTCATTTCTCTCTCACTATTTTTTGAAATATGGTTCTCTGATCTGAGTGATATAGTTTTGAATTCAGTTCTGAAATAGTTTGATTTCTAAATATGTCTTCTATATATGATTGAAATGGGTTTTTGAAATGTTCTTTAATTATTTTTTGAAATGGGTTTTGAGTGGTCATTCATTATTCTCTCTTATGGAATAATTTCCCCTTACAATGGTAATGATGATTTTATTTACAATGCCTTTTTTTTTTTAGTCAACCAAATATGGGAATACATATTTTGATAGAATGATCATTTTATTCCACTTCATTTCATTCAACCAAACACTATCTATGTGAAATGGTTTTGGAATGGGTTTCCATGAAATTTCTATGATATTGTTTCCCAAAAATGGGTTTGAGGGGTTTCTAATCTAATAGATGCTAAGGCATGAAATGAGGGGTAGTCAAGTAGAAATGAGGGTTTTTATGTTTCTGCTTTTCTTTCAAAATAATTGTTTTTTTTTTCTTCTTCTTTCTCTTGTCCTTGGTAGGGTTATTTGATTATTTGTGAGTTTTGTAGACAAATCTAATTAATTTTGCCTTTTGACCAAAGTTGGAATAAGTAATTTGTTAATACTTTTCATCTCTACTTGTTTTGATCTCTATATACGTATGCAATTATTTTCTTTTCTTTTTTACTTCAAATGGTATAGTTATAATTTTATAGGGTTTTCAAATTTGTTGATTTTGAGTTTGTGTTAATTTTTGTTTCCGGGTTTTTTTCTATTTAAATAGTGTATTGCTTCTTCTTCTTCAGGTTTGATTTTCTTTCTTGCCTTGCTCTTGCAGATTGTTTCTATTTCAGTTGATTTTTTTTTCTCTCCTGTTTTTTGCTATATTTCAGTACCTGTTCTGCTGTTCTTTTGGGGGTTTCAAATCCCTTTGCAACTTTTTTTAGAACATCACCATCAACATGGTCCAGCCTTGTGGAAGCGGTAGCTATGAATTTCCCACCGATGATGATTCTTCTCACCAAGGGCCTTCCAGATATTGGAGGACCCACTTCATCAGTTTGATTTACAAATCAAGTCCATTGTCTCTTCAAGTTCATTTGATTTTTTTCCCCAGATTGTCTAAGCACTACAAGAAATGTGTGTTTTAAAGGCGTTTATATAATGGCGTTTTCTTAAACGTCGTCTTTTTTAATATTTAATGGCGTTTTATAAACGTCGCCTTTTCTGCTAATCAAAACGACACCGTTTAGCTGATAGAAAACGCCTCCGAATGTGTTATAATCTATCACACCATCTCCCTCCCGCTTGAGACTCTCATTCTTTACTCTTCAGTCTCAGAAAGAAGATGCCTCAAATCTCTCGCTCACTCTCTCGCTTTAGCTTGGTGATCCCTTAAATCTCAGAGTGATTTCAGAATAGGAATCGATTGGAATCATCTCAGTGATTTAATTTGTTTACCTATTCCATTTACATAGAAATCACTGAGAGCTAAACCTATCTACATCAAGCTTCAGAATCGATTTCCTTTACTGAGAGGTAAACCTATTTGCATCAAGCTCAGTGATTTTGATTTCATTTCATTTTTTGTTCTCTCTCGCTCAGTTTGACTCATCTCTCTCTCTCTCTCTCTCTCTCTCCTCTGCCGATCTCATCCACACTCACCGCCGCTGCTGTCTTCTCATTATCGCCTCAGATCGACAGCTACAGTGGTGGAAGAGGATGGCGGTGGTGGTTGGGGAAAATAGCAGTGCTGAAGTTTAATGTTTAAGGCATGGCAGAAGTTGATTGAAATTAGATTTTGAATGATCTGATTTGTGGACTAATAGTTTTGAGCATTCTTTGGTGGTTTCTTCATTTCATCAACTAAATCATCTCTAGATGTTCTTTTGATTCAGTCAAATCAAATTACTTTATTATTAATTGTTTGAGTGCTTGCTCCTGATTATTGTATTATTCTTTACAGGTTGAAGGCCAAACAGAGGAAGTTATTTTTGACCATTTGCATGCAACTGCTTTCCAGCACACGCCTTTAGGCAGAACCATTCTTGGTCCTGCTCAAAATGTCAGGACAATCACCAAAGATCATCTTCAAAAGTATATATCGACACACTATACTACATCCAGAATGGTAGGTGGTGTCATAAAGTTATGAGCATTTTGTCTGTTCATAATTTATTGCTAGTTCTATTTAGTTGTTAACATGTTGGCTTCACCTTCATTCATCTATCAATTATTCAATGCCGTCAATTTTATTTCTTCACTCTTATTTTTGTTCTTAAAAGGATTGTTCTGCCAATTAATTTCATGATGATGTGTGCCTTCAAAGCATGGACAAATGGAACCCTGGATTGCTTCTGGTTCTGTATCTGTTGTAAACTTTTTATATATATTATTGATCGGCTTTGTAAACTTTGTGTATTATCTGGATGGTGAACAATAAAAATAAAAATCTCTGTTTGACACCACTTAGAATAAGCTTTAGGAAAAGGTGCATAATTCAAGTCTCAGTTGGGAAATAATACTAGTTGTAAAAGTAAGTGTGGATGATTTACCTGGAAGATAGTAGTCTGATTGGCAACTCGTATAACATCTCGCATTCTTACACAGATTTTATCAACATGGGAGTATGTTTTTAGTGTCCAATTTTCTCTAAACTTTGGAGTGTATACTTTTAATTATATGCTCATAATTACATATTACCTATAAATAAAAAAAAGATTCACGATTATAGAGATAGTGTTGCATTCATCACCATTGGATTGCCTTGTTCTGCGTAGAGTAATAAACTTAGTTTAGTAGTGTCCCAGGGGTGGATTTCCGTCTGCAGTAACTGTTTTGCACATATATAGAGCTCATAACGGCCATAATGTAGTTGTGAAAATCTCATGCAAATGTATAGCTTTGGATAAGCTTTGTTTGCTCTTTTCTTATTAGTATTGTTATTATATGATGCAGCTGACAGGAATGAAGAAAACAAGCAAGTCAATCCTAATGAGCCATTACCAAATCCACTTTTTGATTGTAGTATTGCTATTAGTATTGTTATTATATGATGCAGCTGAAGATTGTAGTATTGCTATTAGTATTGTTATTGCTATTAGTATTGCTATTAGAAGGAAGATTGTAGTATTGCTATTAGTATTGTTATTATATGATGCAGCTGAAGCAAAGTTTCCACTTTTTGATGTTGAGAATCATGTTGCAGATCATGGATATGGTCCAAAGAGGAGAGAAGCCTCCTAACATCAGCGTAAATTCACTCCTCCTAGTCTCTATATTTGGTTTTTCTTGTTGGGTATTACTGCCGATCCTCTCTCTTTCTGGGTTTCTTTCAGGAGATAAATGATCTACCACCCAATCCTAATGAGCCATTACCAAATCCACACTCTGCACCAAGAGCTAAGGTTTGTTTTTGAGTGTTTCATTCTATTACAATTTCCATTTTTAGTTTTTCCTGCAATTATTTCAGAGTTGCACAGACCATTTAGTGTGGGAGTTTTTTTATTTTTTATTTTTATGAATATAGGTTTTTGAATAAGTATATTTTTTTAAAATTTTTTATTCTTTGAATACTACAATCTTCCTTTCACCAAGCCCAGGCCACTCCACTGTCTTCAATGCCCATCACTGTAAGTCTGTAATAGGCAATCACACTCTATGAATCTGAATTATTGATAACTATAGCTCAACTAATAAGTTGATTGTCAAAATCTTAGCTGATCTAGTTATTTATTGATATCTAATTTGGCTTGGAAGTGTGCCACCAAGTTGTGTGTTATTTTTCTGAATCAGGAGGCGGAGCGGATGCTAATGGTGGGAGACTGGGGATGCACACAAGTGGGATTCAAGAAGTACAAGAGGAGTATTAATGAAGAGAACTGAAGAGGGATTAATATAAGGTATGGATATCAAATAGTTCCACCCGGAGTAGAAAAATAATTGCTAAGGATATGTTTTCTCATTCTAAAATCTCTCGTAATATAGACCATTTGTGATGAATAAATATTAGATAATGAAGTTTAGTTATTTGTTGTTTCTACTCATCCATGTAGATCAAAGATTTATGGTATGCTCATATATCTACACTATATATAAAGTGAACAAGTCACTTGGCGTCCAAGCCGCCTTCTTATACCAGGTGTCCCTTATTTCTCTAAGAGAATATAAAAAATTAAATATTGAGGCCGTGAAAAGGACTTGAACCTAAGATCATTAGTTTGGTAAGCAACACTTCTATACTCTATATATATATACACTAGTGGTAATGTACGTGGATTTTTGTTGTTGTCATTTATGAAATATTAAAAAATAAAAAGGAAAAGAAAATTAAGGAGACCTAAAATAAGGAAATAGAAAGAAAAAAAAAATCTTTCCATCTAAATCCATAATTGGTGTTCATCTTATTAGTTCTATAATATCATGTAAATTTTGTGATAAATCCTCGAATGATGTTTTTAGTTTACATGCAAAAAAGCATTCAGATCCTAAGTTTGTGTTTGTCTCATTAGTATGTGAAATTAATTTTGAACACCTTTTCAAGCATCAAAGAATATGAAGAATATAATTAGATCAATTTGAAAAGAGTAGCTAGTCTAAAATTGTCATTCAGACCAATTAGAAAATTGAGAGTCAGCACAAATTTCACTGACAATACCTTGATTTACTTTATACTTGTAATATAAAATTGTCACTCAGATGCTTGATTTACTTGATACTTGTAGTATAAAATTGTAAATCAGACCAATCATAAAATTGAGAGTCCTCAGCTCAAATCTCAATAAAATTGTAAATTAGACCAATCATAAAATTGCACTTGATTTTAGAAAAAAACAAGTTGGTTAATCTTAAAGGTGGCATACCGCAACTTCCCATTTGGGCTTTTCTTGTCAGCCGGGTACAAGAAGATTCCTCCATAAAGCAGAGTACGGTGAACATCTGCTATTAAAAAAGATGCAGTTTCTGTATCAAGGTTACGTAGCTGTGGTGTTATTTTTGTTGGAAAGGCAAATATGCATGAAATGGGTCTGGGAACAACAGGAAATAATGCAAACTATGGGTAAGATTCCATGTAGTAGCTATGTAAACAAAGAGATAAATATGATTTCAGTGTTCGACATGCATGCATGACAAGGTGACTGCAGAGATTGTTGAATGGAGAAATAAGACTGTTATATTCAGCGTATTACCTGCTGGTAGCGCGCTAGCTTTACAAAGGCTACTTAATTTATAACGTATCTTGCATCTTAGAATTATATTTGATTTATTTATCTGCTTAAAATTGCTTTATACCCCGATGTTTAAGTCTTTGAAATGTTCTTAGAATTATTTAAATGGACCCCACATAACAATGGTGCTTCATATACTGAACATGTTAGATTTTTAGTTTGGAGAAATATCTCAGCATATTGCCTTTTGTTTGCACGTTATTCTTGGAAAACTTATATTATCAAATGTCTTGCGTCCAATTATTATTTATATGATTTACTGGTTATCCACTTTTGCATATATGCTAACCTCATGAGCCACATAAGTTATAACTTAAGTGATTTTTTTTGACAGAATAAATATATTGTTTGGACATAAATGGCCAAGATTATGTTTATCTTATATAATTTGAACCACGGTTGGCTTAGTTCCTGATTTTTTGTTTCCAGTTAAATGAACCTATTATTAATAAAAGTGATTCATTGGCTTTAGATCTTGCTTACATGAACTTAAATCATCTCACATTATAGTTTTTTATTTATTTATTATTTTTAAGAACATGATTTATCCATTCACCTTTTTATCTCCATCACTTCTTTCATTGACTTCTAAATTGCTATCATTGACAAATATCTTTCACAAATCTGAACCCAAAAAGGTATTCAAAAAGGTATACAGGTGGATCTTCCTCAGGCCCAGCAGCAATTGTAGCTTCTGGGCTTTGTTCAGCTGCACTAGGAACAGATGGTGGAGGTTGTACAAATTTGTCATCTTGTCTTCAACTGATTCTCTTTATTTTTCAAGACAATTATTGATATTGCTTTATTAATGCAAAATACAGGTTCAGTTCGTATTCCTTCTTCCCTTTGTGGTGTAGTGGGCTTGAAAACAACATATGGTCGGACTGACATGAAAGGGTAAAATCTTGGAATTATATGATGTCCAGTGTCTTACATTACCATTGTCCATTTTACTGTACGGTTCTCTGCATAATGAAGTCACATTAACTGATAAAAAGAAGCATAATGCTTGCGTCTGTCAGCCAATCTTCTGCGTGTTTTAGGGGAGGTTTATTGATTAGTATATTTACAGACACCCACACACACACACACATATATATGCATGCAAATATCTTTGTACATTTTTTTCTTTTATGTGATAGAGGGCTTGCTTCATATGCTGTTGGTGTATTGGGTAAGCTATGGATATAACAAGTCTTAAAAAATGGACACCTACCACAAAGCAAGAAGAAAGCAAACTAGAGAAGAAAAGCTACTACAAGTTTTAGTATATTGAAATGAAGATAAAGAAGAAAAGCTTCAATATTAAGAAAGCAAACTGAGCAAAGCAAGAGGCTTGTGGCCACACCATCCTTTGCAGCCTTAAAAAAACTGAATGGCATATCATTCATGATGTAGGGTCATGTTACCATAGCCTGACAACATGTGGTTTATTGTTGCAATATCATAGATGCAACTATAGTTGCACTTAGCCAATGCTAAGTTTTTATTCCAAGTTGTGTGCAAGATTGACGTTAGAATTGCTCAAGGGCTAGCATATGCTTTTGTTGTAGTTAGAAAGGTATTCAACTGATAAAAAAGAAATTTTTTTAGCTTTCCAATGCTATTAGTGGTTTTTAAAAAAAGTAGCGTTTTCTTTCTTTTCCCTTGTAGGTTCAGTCCAAGAAGACCTGTTTTTGTTTTATGAGTTGTCTGAAATCTCTCCTCGTTTTTTTAATATCCCTGTCAGATAAGCAATCAGATAGTGTCACTTTGGGTGATAAAATTTGCAACAAGTTTTTTGGCCATCCACCAAGTCTTTTGAGTCTTTTATCTCCAGCGGAATGCCTCTTCCCGCTTTTTATACGTCTTCCTTGCACAGGCTCAGATGATCTCACTGGCTTAGGAGGTCTCCAATATATATATATATATATATATTCCTGCTAAGGTTATCCAACAATTATAGAGCCTAGATTCTTATCTGAATTTACATTTAATGTTCATTGTTGCTAAATGATGTTCAACAATTTACTTTGCAAGTAACAGCTACTTGTACCTTGATATATGGAATCCTTTCTATCTGTATATCAGTTTCAGTTGCAATTAACTTTTCTATTACATGTTGCTGACATTGAATTCCATATTATTTGTCTCCATGCAATTAATTTCAAAACGTTTAGATTTTAACAATTCTGCATAAAAGAAAAGAGTAACAATAAATAGTAGATGTGGTGCAATTATATTGTGAAGAAAACATGATCTTCCTATTCCTTTTTCTTTCTCAGATCTGTATTTGACCGTGCTTTCGCTTGTCATATGCTGTCCGGTGGGCCAAAACAGGGGTTCATTCATTTCTTCCCATAATCAGTTCAATGCTTTGAAATGTATTACTTACATTGGTTGGTCCCACACTCAAGAAAATATCACTAGGCAATACTGATTTAAAAAAACCTAATCCATCCATCTTAACATAGTCTAGTGTCATTTTTCAAAATTTTTATTTCATTATTTGTGTTTTTATAAACAAAAGCAATGAAAAGTTTATAAACACCATAGTTTTCTACTAGAATTTTTATAGGTATATGGCATGCTATATATGCACCATTGCTGCTTAGAATATTAGGTTGATAAAGTTGGTTATGGGTGTTTCACATTTCACAATGTTAAGTATATAGTTTATATCAAAGTCAAAACTGTTTTTGGATAAAGTTGGTTATGGGTGTTTCACAATTTTTATTTCACATTTCGTTTTTTTGTCATTTATTTTTGCAACCAATCTAAATGTGACTGAATGATCACATATGTTCTTTGGCAGGATGTCAGTGCTTCCCTTTCCAAAAAGTACCCCCAGTTGTACAAGGAGGGAATAAGAAATACCTTCTTCAAATGGAGAGTTGTGGTGACCTTGGCTTTGTTTTCATTTACCAATCATTAGTCATATACAATTTTGTGATCACTTCCAGTTCTAACAGTGTTGATTCGAATGGCAAGATGTTTGGCCTTTGGGATGTCAGCAAAATTGTAAACCATGTTTGTAATAACTGTTAATTTGCGGCTTCTTCTGATGTGCAACACGATTATAAGGTGGCATCAAATAACTGTTGGAGGAAGCATTGTAACATGGTTTATATTATGTGGATAAAATGGAATTAAACAATTTGGGTTAATGAGCTGGGTGTTATTTATATTTGGAATGATCTATATTTTTTTAGTTTAATCAAATAAAATTAGCCTAATTTAAAAAAAAAAAAGAGAGGATATGACGGCGTTTTTACGTACGCCTCTTAAACCCTACATATTAACGGCCAAATTTATGCAAGAAGATATGACGGCGTTTTTCCAAAAACGTCGCTAAATGTCGCCAGTGACGTCAGCATGAGTTTAGTAGGACATTTCGCGGCGTTTTTAAAAACGCCGCCTATATTAATATCACGACGTTTTTAAAACGTCATAAAGTTATAGCGACGGCCGCGTCCTCGGCGTTCGGGGCTAAGCGTCACAAAAAGAATTGGCGGCGTTTTTGACACTTACAGCGGCGTTTTTTAAACGCCACTAAAAGTTAAAATTCCTGCAGTGAAGTTTTCTTTGGAATATTTTTCCTATATTTGCATCTTTCTTTCCCCCATATGTTTCAATTTGCATATTGGGTTGTGATAAATTTGTCTTAGTTTTAAAAATTATTAAAACTATATTTGTATCTCACGAGTTTTGTGATAAGAGTGCCTTCAACAAATTTAATTGGACTTCAAATTTAACTGTTACATTTATTTGGTACCTATTTATGTATTTGTGTTTAAGGTATCTGTTCCTTTGAGTTATTAAACAATTTCCCCTTTTGTAGCAGATGTTGGACTACATTGTTCCTCAAGGTGGGAACAAAGTAAGGGAAATTTTGGTAAATTATTTATTAGAAAAATTTGATGAGACGCAGAAATTGGTAAATTATGCTTCTAGATTTTATTTTATTATTTTAAAAGTATCTTGATAGAGTTGTTTCTGAAAATGACGTATTTCTTTATTTTGGTGATAATCACAAAGTTTATTTGTTTTGTGTGAGTGTGCATGCATGTTTTGCCCCCCTATTTTTTAAGTTTTCAGTTATATTTTTTGCAAGCATCCATGCATTTTTTTGCATGTTTTTTCCCCCCTATTTTTTAATTTTTCGGTTATATTTTTCGCAAGCATCCATGCATTTAATTATGCATCAGGAAGAATGCTAATGTTTGTTGTTACATGCACTCTTTTTATTTTTTAATTTTTTTACAGTGTTCATAATTTATTTTGCATATAATTTCAATTGGGTTGCTATATCTCAACTTTTTATTGTGCTAACCAATTAATTTTTTTGATACATTCATGCATTTGTGTTGTGGTGATACTTTTTCATTGGTTTTTGCTCAAATTTTATTAGAACAAAATTTAGAATTGTATTTTCTTCTTCTTCATCTTCTTCTTCTCCTTTTTTTTTCTTCTTTTTTTTTCCCTACCTGTGCTTCTGCATCATTCATTCTTATTCCTGAGGTGTTCACATGGTCTTCAAAAACAAATTGACAAGGAGGTGGCCATGGCAGTGGATGGGACATCAGTGATCAAGGAGAAGATAGGGGAAAGAGAAAATATAAACATAAAATTTCTTTAAAATAGATAAGATAAAAGAACAGAAAAAGGATTAGAAGAAATTGCAATGGTGCTACAACTCATCTAAAACTAAACCATAAATATGTTATGGTTTAGGGTAGTAATATATAGTTTTAAATCTCATGGAACCAAGTGAATTTTGGCTGTGCTTTTGTAGCTTCCTTAGACGACTTTAACATTCATAGTTGTGGAGAAGTGGTTCGGAAATACTCTTTGGATCATGTAGGACGCTCGTGATCCTCAGCTAGTCACCTGAAAAGGAATGAACACTCCGGTCGGAGGTATCGGAATTAGCACTTCGACGGATAAGTCAGTGTATACTTTCTTGGTTGCTTATATCTCAAGTTAGATTTTTTCTCACATACCTCTCTTTGGCTGTTGTTCCTCTATTTATATACGCTCCTGTTCCTCAGGGTAGGGCCCACTCTTAATCCGTCGTGTGATTGCTCACTCGGCCCTCCTTTTGTCGTATTCCAACTTTCACTCGGCTCCTCACTCAACTGGCTTTATGGCCGATTAGGATACTCGGCATCTAGAACGTACGAGACGGGGGCGAATATAATATATATCCTGATTTTCTAAATATGTACTCAGCCTATCTGCGTCCCCTGATATTCGGCTCCCACAATTTCCCTCCAAACACCCCACTAACACCAGTTAGTCGGCGTATTTGGTTTCGAACTTGAAAAGTCAAAAAATTCGGCGGTTAACCTCATTCCAACGTATGCCAGAACGCACACGCTTTTTGGTCATCATTATAATTTCCCGCCCCTTCGTATGCTTCTTCCATTTAATGTGATTTAAAACTTTGTCTCTTCGAATGTATGTTTTGAATACTCAAAGTATCTGGTTCGCCTTCTAGTACAACTCCTTCACTTCGTGACCTCTGCAACTTCCTCCTATTTCTCATTATCTCTTCTGCTTCATGTAAGTTTTCTTTTCCTTCACTTCCAATCCCATTTCCTTGTTTACTTTTAGTTTTGCATAATCCTTAGGCTGGCTAGGATGGAAAAACATTTGAAAGAGCTCCTTTCTGTGGATCAAATTTCTGGCTTCCGACGCCATTATTCCATCCCCGATGACGTCCATTTGTCACTCGTGGCAGACAGCACCACTGATATGGAGAGGGCTGGTGAAAGTACAATCATCTTTCCTCTCTTATCGATTGCTGAGGGCAGAGTCCGTTTCCACTTCACCCATTTTTAAGGGCCGTCTTTCGACATTGGGGTCTAATTCCTTCCTAGCCTAACTTGAATTTTTCCGTATCATAATGGGGATTATAGAGTTGAACCGACGTCTTAGGATTAACCTACGTATACATGCAATTCGGCATTGTTATGCCTTAGCCAAGTCTATTGGCCGGCTTGGACGCTATTTTCTCAGGGCCAAGGATACCGATCATCACTTAGTGACTATGCTTGCCAACTCTGGCAAGCGTGTTGATGATGTGATGGTCGTTGTCCGAGGCAACTGGGAATTCGGCGAGGGTGAACATCGTCTAGATCCCGTGCCAAGGCGAAAAGGCGAACCAGGTGGCC